TGTATACTAATAAAAAAATGTCCCTGTATATAAGAAAATTGCTGATATTTTAAGAAACACTGTAAACAATCAAATATTACTATAAAAATTGCAATAGCAGTTAAAAGAGGGAATAGGGGAACCAATTCGAGTTCTTCTAATATCCAAAATTTTGAAACTGTGCCCAAAAAACCGTTTAAAAATATCAAGAGCTAATTCTTTATGAACAAAAAGTTATAGGTTCAGAAGAATGATTCATCATATGATGCTCGTTTAATTACACATCCGATATGACAACAACGCCGTATTTCTTTAATTTGACATTTTGACAATTTTTGTGTCAATGTCATTGAATTGTGTCTTGTGTTAGTAATGGTTTCATCTTCCAAGTTCAAAGCATAATGTCGTCGAAACGGGTAAATTATACCCACAATAAAAAGAATATTTTCCTTTCGGTGGTAGCGAAGTAAGTTTTTATCAAATTTATTCTAGGGAAACCAACACCAAGAATACACTATAAGAGACTTCAAGATTTTAGTATTCCAACTAAATTTATTCACTTTGTAACCTCAGTTTTTTCCCATTTTACACTGAAATAAGCTCAATATTTTCCACATTTCAACTCCTTAATCCTTATTGTTATTGTCTCATCCTTTAGATATAAAGAAGTTATTGAGGATAAATGCACCAAGGCGTGGGCGGTGCTCGGTGCAGAAGAAGGCAGTTGCGTGGGAAGCAATTGTAGAAGAATTTAATTACTTGGCCGAATCAGGTACTAGGTCGGTCAAGCAATTAAAAATCTTTCACCAAAATCTAAAGCGGGAGACTCGTAAAAGAGTAGCTCAGGAACACGTAAGAATTAAAATAAAGAACACATGCTACATTTGACACATATTTATTTAAGCAAGAACAATATGAAGCCAGACTAAAGGAGGGCGAAGCGAGGAAGGCCGCAGCTCACGACAAAGTAATTATAAATTAACATGACACCACAGTCTTTCTTTTTTTGTAACAAATTATATTTATAAAAATTATAAAAAATATGAATTAAAAGAAATATGGGCATTTCTCTGTAAACTGGGCAACTCGTTGTCTCAAGCCGATATAATATAAAAAGTATAGGTTATTATGTATTTCGTAGTTAACTTCAAAAGATAATTATCTAATCTATCTATGCTCAGCGTGCAGTATCCCTTTAAATTAATTTTATTATATCAAAAACGTTTTTATAATGATCAAAAAACAGTCCCCTGTCGTGTTACCTATACAATATAGTTGGTTCAAGTTAAATTAATTAAAACAATAACTTCAAGAATCAATCAAATTATTTGATTAATTGAACAATATTACATGATTGTTAATGGGACTTGCTTATTTTTTATTAATATTTGTTTACAAATTTAAAATATTAAATAAAAAGTTTATCTCAGCATTTTATAAACAGTCCCCCTGTCTATATTTTAAATTATGCACCACGTAGTTTACAGCTTAAACTATTGCGTTAATGCGTGTAACGTAACGTAAACGTAAACTGAAATTTGCACGGTTGCTACAAAAAGCGCCCCGACGCTACTTGGTTTAGTGCTGCACGAGCGTCGTTCCCTGAAATCCGCGTCGCACTCCGACAGCTGACAGTCCTCTGGTAAGAATTATTTTCAATTCTTTTATCTCTTTTATTTACATGTTAGAAAATTTATTTTGTTATAATAGATAAATATTAGTTATGTACAGCAAATTAACATAACTTAATTATATTTTGAGCTACCTTCTAATGAAATCAAATTAAACAGTCCCCTGCACCATAACGGGACAGGGGACTGTCTTTATATATGTTTGTTGTTGTTTTAGACATTGTTTGAGCATGGCACTAAGAAAAAAAAACTCTCTAAAGAAGAGAATTTACAAAAAAAAAAAGAGAAAATGAGCGAAAGAGATATGAGCGCAACAAAAACGATCCGCAAAAAAGGGAAACACTTAGGGAGAAAGAACGTCTTAAATATCTTAAAAAAAAGAAAAGGGCACTAGGAAGCTTGTTAAAGACATGACTCCACGAYAACACCGAGAAGCAAAAAWGAAGTYAAGAGAGTACTGCAAAAAGTACCGCAATGAGAAAAAAGTATTAAGAAATGTAACAAACTCGGAAGTATCAACTCAACTAGCAATACCTGAAGTTGTTGAATTAATTCCAAAAAAAATAATAGAGAAAAGATGTTGAGATATAAAATAAAAAAGGAAAAAGATGAAAAAATTAACGACCTGAAGAAAAAACTATTGAAATACAAGAAACGCCTGTCGAGATTAAAGAATAATGAAAATGCTAAGCTTAAAAATATGTATACTCCAGAATCTAGGAAAGATCTAGATCTAACTAGTTAAAAAGGCACTATTTGGTGAGGTATTAAAGGAGCAGAGTGAAAAATGCAAAAAAATCTCGTGGACTGGTTAGAAAAAAACAAAGTTTCAAATGAATGTGCTAGAGCTGTTGTGGATTTTTATGGGGATGATTATAACAGTAGACTAGGTGTAGGAAAGAAATAATTTATTACTAGAAAACAAGTACGGAAACAAAAACGATACAGATGAAGAAGACGGTGAAATTCGTGTCACATTTCTAAAGCTCTCCGATAATAAAGGTCAAACATCTAGATTCGATCAAGAGGATGTAGCAGATCAGGTGATAAAAAAACTCCCTAATCCAAATATACTTTTAAAACGGAATAGAGTATTCTACAAATTTGATTCACCTGTAAATGTGAAAAACGATAAGCTCTAATTTAAGTATCCCTTGATTCTATTTTTTCTTTAACTATTCGTGCTTTATTTATGTGATAACTACTTTTCTTTAATTACAATAACTGGTTCTATTCTAAAAATAAAAAAGGTTTTGCTACTAAAACACTGTTTTTCATTTAAATAAACAGTCCCCTGCCTTAGGTAACAGTCCCTTGTAACGATGTTTCAGAAAATGCTCAACATTTCCTATGATAATGAAAATATTAATGGTTTATCTGCTGTTTATTATTAACCAGGTAGATACCTATTCCCTTAGTAAGATTTTTTTAATATATAAGAACAAAAGTGGTATAGACTCTTTCTTAGATCGAGTTGTCCAGTTTACAGAGAAGCGCCCATATTGAAAACTGGCGGAGTCAGTTCCACCTTGGAAATGACCTCCGAGCAAGAAATTCTCCTGGCCACGATACGGGAACAAGTGAAGCCCTTGGATAACGCTTTTGACAGTGCGGCTGAATTTTTAGTAATATACACGCTTAAATATTAATAAAACAAAAATAATTTGTGATGTTTTTGTCTTAATAGATGATATCGAAATATTTCAGAAGCCGCGAAGTCCAATTCCTGAAGTTGCCCTTTCTGGACATTCCCCTGACCTTGCTCGCTTTGAACCTTCCTCTGATTTTACCCGCTCTGCAGCCCCAGAACCTCGTCCTAAACCTGTTCCCACCCTGCCAAGACGGAAACTTTTGAAACCCCGAAAAACACAAAAATTTTATGGTGTTGATCGTTTTAGCATTCGTTTGTCATTTGTGAAGATTGATTGTACGTTTTCGTTGTTTAAATCGATTCCCAAAGCCCCCGAGCGCAACCTGCACAATATCCAGTGGTATAATTGCTGTGATGAAGTCGTGAATGAGACTTAGAAAAATATCTTATAACACAGACTGTTGTTAAAGTACCAGATGGTGCATATTGCATCAATATCCATCCATTTATGGCCAATGAGGAAATCAGCACTAATTGCTACAAGCGTTTAAAGTACTGAAAGAGTAAAAATCTTACGTCATTTAAAAGAAAGACCAAATCTGCAAAAGAGTAATGTTGTTATTAGACGGCGCATGCATTATTTATTTATGTAAGATTGAAAAATTAAGGTTTTTTGTCAAAAAAAAGTGCAATTCAAACGCCACATAAACCTGACTTGAGCTTTTCTCACTCCATTTCCAATTAATCATTTCTGAGTCTTTTAATATTTTCTGGATTTAAAAAAGCGACAAATTGGTAATAATAATAATAATAAGAATGCGTATTACATTTGCCTAATCAAAGTTGTGTATTTCAGCAAAGTAAAATAATCACCTCGCGAATGTTAGGTAGATTCATCGATCTGCGTCATAAACTAGTATCAATCAGACATAACGGAAATATTTACTTGATCAGGTTAAAATTGCAGTGAATTTTCGGAAATTTTACTGAGTTTTAGCTTCCTTTTTGTCCTTGATTATAACCACGCATTTTGTTTAGTAACAAAACCAATTTAAATACTTATTTAAAATCCAAGTCGTGTCTAAATATTGCGCGTATTAATTAATTTATTATAATTATTGGGTTTTAATGGATTTATTGTATTTTTGGATAAAAGTGTGGAATCCTTTAATTAGTATTTATTATGTACCTACTCGCACATAAGTAAAGAAATCAAGACTAACTAATACAACACAGGTCCACAATGTTGATTATGTGGATGTCGACGAGGAGGATGCTATTGGAAGTTCATCCAGTTCAAACTCACATGATGTGACTGCTACTTCCCAAACTATTGATGTTCCTTATGAAGTGCCAAAGGTGCCAACTGAATTCCATAGTTATGCACGCCCTATCAATAATGCTGAAAAGCAAAAATTAAATGAGAGAAGGCATACTGCAAAGGCAAGAAAATCTAGAGGGCAAAGTAGTGAAGTGTTCTCATTTTTGTCCGAAGAGGCTAGGCTAGAACAAAATGAGAAGAAAGAAGAACTGCAGTTCAGAAAGATGCAGCATGATGTTACTACAAAACTACAACAAGAAGAGATGGCCTATAAAAAAGCAAAACTTGAGTTTGATGAAAGAAAATGGAAAGAACTGGAAGAAATTGAACGCAAAAGAAATGCAATTTTAAACACCCTTTTGGAAAATATGCTGATGGGAAATTTGAATAAAAACACTTAAGTTAGTTTTGATTATTTAATGTTTTAACTTCCCTAAGATACAAAATAGCTTACTCTTATGTGATGTTCTTCAATATGTTACTGAAAATATTCTAGAATATTTGGGGATTCAACATTAAAATAATGTGATGTCGTACTTCCATAAAAGCATGTGTGCGCATTAGTGAGTAACGCTGCGATGATATAAAATTTACCAACAGGCTGTAAAAAAAGTTTCTGATTTTTCTTAAAATCAACAAAAGCAGATTGCTGAATAATTTTTCCAAAACTCCATTCTACACATTGACGAACTTTCACCATTTGTTTATTAAATTCCTGCTGTTGTTCTGTCAAATGTACATTAGAAAATGGGCGTATTAGTTGCCTCCTTAATGGGTAGCCTTCATCACCATACACACAAAATCGGTCACAATATAATCTTAGCTGTTCCATCATATGTGTATCTCTAAAGATAAATGCATCATGTCGTCTGCCTGGGTATGGGCTACTTAAATGTAAAATAATTCCATTTGGTAAGGTGATGGATTGAAATTTGAGACAATGAAATCTCTTATGTCCGCTATACATCTCCCGTTGCATTAAATTTGGCCTGCAGACTGCCCGCGCCGTCCCATCAATAAATCCAACACAATTAGTTAATGGGGCCCCTTTTGCGTGTACCAGTGCAGCAATTTCCAGCAGGTAGTCTTCAGTTAACCATTTATTTTCGCTAAAATTTAACAATAATTTGCTCCATTTTATGTAAATGAAGTGACATATGTGCTTCAAAAGTTTGCTCAGAGAAGAATAGTGTAGGCCAAATTCATTTTGAAGGTCCTTCAATCTGTTCGGATACACAAAACGTCGCAGAAGTAAGCACAATCTTTTGACTCCTACAAATAACAGTCCAAATAAATAAGTAATACTGTATCTAATTTCTGTTTCATACACACCTCCGATCACTTGACGATCTGGAGTTTGCCATCGCAGAGGCATTCGTAAAGCTGCATGCAGCCTTATAATGTCTGCTCTATCAAATCGAAACATATGGCGGAAATTTTGTAGGGGTATTACATCAATATCGAATGATACACAACTATACAATTGTTGTTTCTCTTCTAATTCATTCCTCAGTAATGTGATCATTAAATACTCCTTTACATCTTCTGTACTGAGGCATATTGCAAGAATTTCCAACGTATTGTTGCTCATATGTATTACTACTATAATAATTTAAACAAATTAGAATTGTATGTGTTTAACTTACTCCTTTAATCCCTTCTGGCGAATTTCTGACAAAATATAACGTTTCGTTTTCTAACCACATCTAACGTAAAATACTGAGCGCAAATGCAAAAACAAGAGGTCGTCCTTATAATTATAATTTCTCCGTTACAGGTTTATAACTATAACGAAAAGTATCATGCGCAAAGTCTCTATTAGCACCTACAGCCGATTTATCACGGATTTTGAGCTCAAAGTTGTAATACTGTACTAATAGCTTAAGTACGGTCGCTTTGTTGAAACAGTTATTACCGAAAATAGGACGGGAGTCAATTTCTGATTATGTGACGCAGAAATTATAATAATATAATATCGTCAACAGCTACAGACATAACTTCACAACTGACGCAACATTCTGTGCGCTAGTGCGCTTTAACGCGTTTGAAAACTAGTAACATCCAGATATCGCTCTGAGCCCCTCTACTACAAGTTTAATTTTTACCGGATAGCAATGTTTCGAACACAGCCCTCATCTTAGTATGAACGCAAAGTAGAAAAAATTATTTAAAAGTGGCGCCAGAAAAAAACTCAAGTTGTCTTTGTCAAAAAAAGTTCCAGACATAAATTTTACCTTGGGCAATTCTATAATTAAACCGTCTTCCCATGTAACTTATCTAGGGATTACTATAAACATATAAATACATTTAACTACTTTATCCATTATAAACATAAACTTAAAATTTGTCAAACACGTAGAAGCTGCTGAATACTTTACTACCTAACGTACGAGGACCACGACCCAATGAGCGCAAAGTATTAGCTATGACCACACAATTTTCAATTTTAAACGGTGTGGCAACATGGATAGAACCGTTAAAAGCTCAGACATATCTCTAGAAGATAAGAGCCGTACAAAGACTTATGACACTACGAGTATGGAGTGCACTGTAAGACGGATGAAGTGCTGGTAGTTGCCGGTCTAATACCACTACACCTACTGGCGGATGAAAGAGTATTCTGTTCTTACAAAAAAAGAAAGGAAAAAGGCAGAGCGAGGACTGTCGTTACCGCGGCAAAAGCACTTTAAATACAGCAAAACACACTCTAGTAGAGTGCCTTAAATAGAAAGAGATTAGAACGCAGCAGGGCATATGCATCAATATGGCATTAGAAGATATTGTGAGGGTAATGCTACAAACAACACATTGTCGTGTCATAATTGGTGAGTTTTAACTAACAATAGTCCGCGCTTCTTTAATAATAAGTTATCATTTTTAGCAGCAGAGAGAGATTTCAAAGCCAGGCCAGAACATTGGGCATTATTTATAGAGTGTTTAGAATCTAACACGACGCTAATAAATAATAAATTTAATATAAGTGATAGACAGAAGTTTGCATTTGAAGAAGCATGAAAGGAAGTAGCAACGAAATTAAATAGTCTAGGCTACGGCCAAAAATGTGTTGAGAAGTGACAATTGGCCCTTCCGCGTTGAAAGTCAAAAGTCAAAACTAAAACTGCTGTTTTGAGGATTGAACGTATTAAAACAGGAGGTGGAGAAGCAAAAACACAACACTTGCAATTATTGAGGAACGACTAATGGGTCTTCTGGGTTGGAAACACAGAGTAGGAGATGGTAATAAAGAATTTGAAGTTGTTAATAACCTAGTGAGTGCAGAAATTGTACCCCACCCTCCTGCGTCTGAGAATCTGCCTGAGATTATTGCTTTGAATACCAATACCAACACCACCACAAGAAAACTCAGTTGTGAATCAAAGAATATACCAAATACCAAACGAAGGGTCACTCTTTCCTGTAATAAAACACAAAAATTTGTAAGCGTGGCAATAATGCATGCTAAGAACAAAGTCATTTTGGAAAACATTGATAAGAATCTAACAGTATTAAATGAGACATTGAGAGATATTGCAGTAGACTTCAAAAAAATCGTTTCCCAAAGACACTATCGCTAAATAAACGAGTCATGTGCAAAACTTTCAGAGTTTGCATTGACATTTAAAATAGCTAAATTATTAGCCTCATAAATTACTTGCAGACTGAATGAAATCCTTTCCGATTGAAATAAATGTGTTCATCTTCAGAAGGTTCCAAAAGTGCTATATGAGTGCCATCAACAATACCTATTTGTAAGCCAAATTTGTCCATGAATTCAGCTTGAACGAGCCTCACTTTGTGGAAACTTTATCCATCGAGGAGCAATTTGTTGTAAAGCATTGCCAACTTTTGTAACTATCTTACTCATTGTTTGTTGACCCATGGCGATGTTATAATCAGTCCAATACCGATATGAACCTGTAGCAAAAAATCGCAAAAAGTGATGCCAAAAATTGGATGTACTATAAAACCATTGGTTCTCGTTTGAAATTAAACTACAAAAACATAAGCTCAAACATTATACTTTCTTCGCAATCTCAGTTAAGTAGTTCAGATAAAAAACGTAAAATTGATGTAATAGACAAATATGCATGGTCAAAAGACAACTGTTTGTGAACCAAACCTTATCGAAACCGTCTACTTCAACGCAATTTGCTGAGGAACCGTTAACGCCAACCAAAATTAAGTGTCAGCAGTGAATTTTCACCAACAACCCCAAGTTTGAATATTTTCCTTCACCGGGCGAAGTCTGTGAAGAGGAAGACATATTTTCTGGACAAAGACTGAAAACAACTCTATCGCTTATTGAAAGCAAAAGTCGTTTTTATCTTGGACTTCCACCTGACGTTTATAAATTAGTGCATATATTGAGCCAATGTCAGATGTTTCCTATGGATACCTCCTAATTAAGATTGCTGGTGTCATGCAAGAACTTATTTTTTATTTTTTATGGTTATGGGCAAGAGAGGTTTTAAACATGTAGCAGCATTATTAGAAGAGAAAGGTTGTACTTTAATAAGACCTCCTAGTTTGCTTGAAGGTCGAGAACTTACTAAAGCGGACGTAAGGAAGAACAAAAATATTCGCTAAGGGTTCATATTGAAAGAGTTATCCGTAGGTTGAGAGAATTTGCTATGAAGGATCCTCATGCTGTTATTAATTCTCAATTGTTGTATTTATTAGATTGCATTGTTCTTCTTTGCACATCCATTAAATTTAGTAGTATAAGCCGGTTACTTAGCAGAAATAAAAGAAACTCACCAACCGGTAGCAGATTTTTTTTAAAAGAAGTCTGCAGTCTGCCGCTAAGTTGAAAGCAATGAAGGTGCAAATGAGTTCTCCCGAACATAACTTAAAACAAGATATGCCTTTTCGGTGAAATTCTACATACGATATGTTTCGTAGAATTCTTGAAATTAAAGATGCTTTATTTTTCACATTAACCATTGTAGATTTCGAAAAACAGCAGTTAATTCCGCCAGACTGGACCATTATAGAAACCTTTAAGCAGAATGTTGCTGCGCCATTGCAGTGATATCAAAAAAGGCGATTTACCCTCAGACGTTTCAAAAATGCTCTTAAGAATGAATTAAGTACTTTGCAAGAGTTTTCTCAAAACAGAAGATAATTTAGTTATCGCCCAAGCCACAGATTAGTTGCAACAATTCTGTTAGATGAAACTAGAGGTTTTTGCAGTGTTTTCCTTCCTTTGTTAAGCCTTCACAAGAGGATCCTGTACTTTTAATTCTCGATGGCCACCTTTCACATACAAAAAACCTAAGTGTCATTGAAAAAGCCAGAAGTAATTTTGTGGCCATTTTATGTCTACCGCCACACACCACTCACAAGCTTCAGCTGTTAGACGTGTGTTTTACGTCACTATCACGATAAAGCATTGGAAAAATGGCTTACTAATCTCCCGGGAAGTGTTGTAACGTTTTACAAATTTCACAATTCTACAACGAGTCTTATATGTAGGCCTGCACACCACTAAACGCAAGTAACGGATTCAAGAAGACTGGAATTTTCCCGTAGAACCCCGATGTTTTCACTGACATTGATTTCGGAACTGCTGAAGTGACTGAGCAAAACGAACCTCAAAATGACAATGTCCACGAGGAAAATGATGCGGTCCATGAACAAAATGAAGAAGTTAATGATGGAAAGAAGTAATGAGGTCCATGCGCAGAATTATGAGGCCAATGAAAAAAGTAGTGGAAGCAACGAGCAAAATGACGCCTTACCAATAAGTGCTACGCAATCCTTAGCTTCGGTTAATGAACCATCGACTTCGAGGGCATCAAGTGGTTTTAACATTCTGCGAAGTGATACTTATTAGTAGCTTAAAACCAAGGAAGTCTGGACACAGTAGTTTTGACAAGTACTCCGATAAAGATGAATTGTTAGAGGAAAAAGCAGGTCGAAAGAAGAGCTTTAAAGAACAAGAATACATTACCAGGAAAAAGAATTCCACAAGAAAAAAAAATAAAAGGTGAAGTGTGACAAAATATAGGAATAACAAAAGAAGAAAACAGGACAAAAATGAAAGAGGTATCTTCGGAGGAATTCGAAGTGGAAGACGATACAGAATGTTTTATTTGTACCAAAACATTTCTACAGTCTCATTCAGGAGAAGGGTGGGTGCAGTGTTCAATATGCTATCGTTGGGCACATGATGGGTGTACGGGAATCGATGAAAACAAATGTGATCTATTGCATTGATAATGCCTAGGTGAAGAAAGTGCGTAAACAGTTAGTAGATAACTTGTGATGTCAAGTTGTTTGGCGTTTAAATTCGGATTTTTTTGTATTTTGTCGTTTTTTGATATTTTTTTAGCTGTCTTATTATATGGCAGTTTATTTTTACTAAATGTCATTTGGTTTAGCTGAATGAAGTAGTTTTGGTTCTTTTATTACGAAAAAAAATAACTAAAATGCATATATAGAACAGGTAATATTTTGCCGTCTTTAAGGGATCATTTTGCAAACATCTACATTACTGCCCTCAAAAAATGCTTACAGGTTATACAAAAAATTAGTAAGGCAATATTTAAGTACAGTCTATCAACAGTCCAAAAAATACGGCGTGTCAGAACTCGCGCCTCAGAAAAAATTTTCAAATAAGACAAGATACCAGGAACATGGAAAAAATGTTTACAAAATTTTATCTATCAAAAAATTTTGACATTTGACATTTTTTATGTCTATTTAATGATACTGATGATCTTGTATATGTTTTTGTCAATAAAAGCCACAAATGAGATTAAACAGAGTCACAATTTAGGATATAACCAACCTTGTTTCCTCTTCTATCTATAAAGTAAATACTTTGAGTAAAAGTAGGCTCTTCAGCGAGTAGAATTTTGTTGAAGAATTTCCTACGTTTTTGAAGCATTAGCATTTACTTCATTTTTACTCATACCACCCATTATGCGAGTTCTCGTACGAGAAGTCGTAAGAGTTCTTTCGCGAGGCGGTATGAAAATATTTACATACATAGAAAGATTTCTCGCATTACCTATCGGTTTCGAGAACTCTCACGAGAACTTTGCAATTAGAACTGTATCTATTTTTCATACGAGTTTACACATTTTATTATGTTCATGTCATTTATTTATTTCTTGGAAATAAAGGGTAGTATTATTATTATTTTCTTGGAGTTACTTAGGATTTATACGTTCTTTATTGTATTTAAACATGTTCAAGTTGTAACTTTTGTATAGATTAAATAGAGTTTTATATAAATTATATTATAAAACATTTTGTTTTTTTTTCTGTTACGTCTTTAGATATTTAAGAGGTTGTTGTCTGTATTTTGTAGTATTTACAATCATTTTAATAACAGAATTTATTAGAATGATTGTTAAATACGCGGAGACACAATGGCTGGTCTTCAACATAATAAGTAAGACTAACTCTTTATTCTTATAAATAATGCTTGTCTACATGTTATGATGATTGCCGGAAGTAACTTTTTGGAATAGCATGAGTCAACTCAAGCTTTAATGAAGACTGCAAGTGCAGGTGTTGCTTTTATTCCACTGTCTTGTGACTCTAGTACGTCGTTTACACAAAAAAAACTGTGAACAACGTTCCCATTGCAATGCAAACTGCAACGGCAACTGTTGAAAAAAGTGCACGAAAGGAAACGTGGAACAAATCGTCAATTTTATTGCTCATTTTATGTTATGAGGAATTCCAAACGGAATTTAAGTCCACCACGATAAAAAATGAAAAGATCTAGAGCAAAATTGAGAAAAAGTTTAAAAAGAAGGGCTTATCCTACGAGTACACCAAAACACAAATTGCACATAAATTTAAGCAAGTTATATTAAAAAAAAAGGATAATCAAGGAGACAAAGGAACGGACGAGTTGGCATTATTGTTTGAACATTTCCACGAATTAGGTGATTTATTTGGTAGACAACCAAACAATGTCCCAGATAATCGAGAGTCGTCTTTATGTGCTTCTTAGTAATAGTGAGTTTGATCTTCCTAGAGAAAAGTCCCGTTTCGAAAAACAAATACAAATATCAAATTGACGTACAAGTGCAAGCAGTCAACCACAGCAACAACTTTCTCAGACTAACAACACCTGTCCGAGCCGCGGCAAGCAATTGGGTACAGTTTGTCTCCATGTATCCTTGGGAAGCTGTGATAAAATTTTGTCGGTCTATTTAAGAATCACCCTATATGTTAAGTACACACAGAGAAGTCACTATCTTAATTTAAGAATAATAATTGTCTTAACGTGATGTTTTTAACTTTAGACTATATTATTTTACTACAATTATTTATATTTGTATTAAAATAAAACTATTTCTTGTCTTAAGCAAAAAATAATTTCACTGATTTGTTTTACTTTAAGAAGAATTTTTTTGTTTGAAATATTTTTAGATTCTATTTAATAAAAGTGTGGTAGTTCACGCGGAAAAAGTAAGTTATCTTACTTTAAAAATTTGTATCGTCACCCCAAGTAAACAGATTTACTTCAGTCATTACAGAATTATTCATTTGAAAAAAATATCTGAATCAATTGAAACCACACACAGTTAAACCAATATTTAGTAATTTTACACTGAATATAATTTTTATTGAACCAAATAATTGGTTTTCTTGACTTTGTCGCTTGTCCTCGAGAACCGACGCATTTGGACGACTCAACTCAACTGCGCCATAAACCAGGAAGACCCAACGCAATCAACACGTTTTGTTAGGTTAAATAAAGTTGCAGTTAGTGTACAATGGAGGAATTGCTACAATCGTGGGAACTTGACGAAATTATCATTCAAAAATTTAAAGGTAAGTGTACAGTTGGTTGCCTATGTTGTATTTGTTTGTTAATAAAGTCAGTCTCCCACTAGAACTGGTACTACTGAAAGCACGCCCTTTCCCTTCCTCGATCACATGGCGTAGTCAGTAAAGTAAATTAAATAAAATGGGTGAATATCGAGGAATATCTCCAATGAGTACAGCAAGTGTAGTCTCAAAAAAAGACCAGGCAAGACAGTGTACTCAACTTCTTCATTACATCGAAGAGGAAGGATTCAAAATTTTCACGACCTTCATGTTCGAAGAAGAAAAAAATCAACTGCAGCCGCTGTTGGAGAAATTTGAAGCTTTGCCTAAGGAAAACCTGTCGTACGAACGTTATAAATTCTTCTCGTACAGAAAACAACCACAGCAAAGCCTAGAACAAATGCAAGTTAGGTGACCTAAAGGAAGAACTCATCAAATCCATGATATTATGTGGGGTTAACAGACAAACGCCAACCTGATGAGAGAAAAGCTGCAGGATGACACATTAAGTCTCGACAAAGCAATAGAATTATGCACAATTATAGAGAAACAACGACAACGTCAGCGAACGCCGTCGGTGGTAACGTAAATAAAATGATTAATAATTGTAACAAGTGTGGTAAAATTCATGCTATAAATAAATGTCCGGCATTTGGTAAAATCTATAATTGGTGTAAAAAAAGAAATCATTTTCAGTCAGTTTGTAAAAATATAAATAGTGTCCATAAAATTAAAAACGAGTCCGCAATTAAAAATAATTTCTTTGTTGGTTCAATAGAGTTAGGCGAAATACGGCAGAAACATGAACAATGGTTCACAGAATTGATAATAAAAAATAAGTTTATTAAATTTAAAATAGACACGGGAGCGCCATGGTGAATGTTTTGCCAAAACAACAAGCCGAGATTCTAGGAATCACGTCTGGCGATATCGTAAACACAAATGTGAATTAAATATGTACAATGGACAAAAATTAAATGTGCTTGGAACTTGTAAATTGTTATGTCGTAAAAAATAAATTTTGATCCCAAAATGTTTATTGTAGACTTTAAATTGGCAATTTACCTAGCCCTAAACAAGATTTGGCCTGAAGCAAAAATTCGAGGATGCCGTTTTCATTTAACACAATCTTGGTAAGTAAAAAAGCATGCTTTTAAACCGCGTTCAGACGTTAATTACAATTACAAATTTTCAGGTGGCGAAAAATACAAAACTTGGGTCTGGTTGTAGAATATAGGAAAGATACAAAGATTGGTAGATGGTTGCAACACACTTTTGGTCTGTGTCAAGTTTATCTTATCACTGCTAAACCAATAACTGAAAAAAATTGTTAAGCCCCAGAATGTATCACTCGTTTTTGGCTAAACATCTTAGTTTCGGAGATTCCCTATTCGGACATCCAAAATGCAGCACCCTCTACAAATTTCCAAATATATCCTAAGTCAAATCAGTGCTTTAGATTCTAATATTCTTTTCAAACAGATACAAAAAAATAGTATTTTGTAATATAAGACATCTGTAATAAACATATTTGAAATGTCCTCTTATTTATCTTTGCGGTTTTCAATCCCTGCTGTGAGATTAAGATTATCCGATGAACTGACCTTTTGATCCTGTGCCGAAATTACATACGACCCTTAAGGATTATGTTGACCGCGTGGCGAAATTACAACGCACCTCGAGAAGATATGGGCTCAAGTGAAGAATCATGCAAATTCATTGATGTGGGGGCATTAGCCGAATCAAAATTTTCTAGTATTGGAGAAGAGGAATGGAAGGCTGTTTGCAGTGACGTTGAAAAAGTCGAAGATGAATATCTAAATAAAGAACCTCTGGTGGAGGAAGTTCAGGAATTAATATTTACAGTCAACACAGGTGAAAGTGACGACGATAGCGGGTAGTCAAGTGAGGATGAAGACTTAGGTTGCAGTGTGATAGATTAAAATTGTAATAGTCTTCCTCCGTTAGAACCTTTTTTTTAATTTTCTCTAACGCTTGTATAGTTGTGTACATTTTTTTGGGTCAAATTTTTTACGGAATAAGATGTCTTTTTTGCAAAATCACATAATAATTAAACATTAATTTAAAGGTGCGTCCATCTTGTACTTATTACAGAAAACGAGACAGATGAAGAAACATTTCTACAATTAACAGATAAAGATATTGACGAACTACTTCCTATACTCGGATGTAGAAAAAAAAATTGCATAAAATATAATCAGTACATACTTGAGAGGGTATAATATCATATCATTGTAACTAGTCCTATAATTAAAGTCAACATTCTTATAGGCTGCTTTCGTTTTCAATTCAAGTGTTGATTGTTCTAAAGAAGAGTCCGATGTCAACAGTTATACTCTCTCTACTGGATGACACCAGTTCAAATACAAGCGGCCCAGTACGACCAAAAATGATAGTGTAAATTTAAAAGGACTTTAACTACTATTCTCAAAAAGCCACTCTAGGATAACTATATTTTATAACCAAGTATCCTCCAGCACCTAATAAAGTATTACCAGAGTTTTTAACATTTTTTGGTCTACTTTCTCTTCTGAGGTGTTTTATAATATCTTTACTAATTAGTTATTTTAATTCAAGTCATATTATCATTCTCATACACATTGTTCTAGATTGTAAGTGTCCTATTAGACTCCACTGAAGAAGGCACTTTAATTAAAAATAGTTATGGTCACAACAAAAAAAAAATTAAGAAATAATCTGTGTAATTAAATCCACCAATCCCACTTCAAAAGAATAATGTGGAACATGTGGCTCAACCGATTTTCACAGAATTTCATTGAGCATCATTTAGGTATAACTTCTCTTTTCGGTTAGTTCGATTCTCGCAGCCTAAAAGAATATTTTTAACCTTTTGAGATAAATTGTGATTTGTGTGCTGATCTAAAAACAAAAACAACTACGGTTTTGAAACTGAATGATGACTTGGATAACGACTTGGACATACGCAATAGTGAACAGGATGGCAACGAAAAATTTACGACTACGGCAATGACAATAGATCACGATTTGGATAATGAAAACACTGCAACAACTTCGGCGCTAAACAAGACTTCAGTTAAAGATTACAGGAAAAGTAACAAAAGCAGAATTCATCTCAGTCAGGAGAAGAATAAAATATAGAGGGTGTATCAAAAGAAAAGATAAAAATAAAAAAACAGTTTCTAAGAATAACAGAGATGTTGAAGAAATTTTTACTAACTCTACTAAAAATTTAACTACAAATGATCATGAAGTAATTTCTCATGAAGACTCGAATCTCAATAACGTCAGAGATGAAGAAGGAATCGAAGAAGAAAGAGTGACAATCGAAGCAAACCAAGAATGTAGAATGGAAGGTCAACGGATTGTGGCTCTCCAAGATTTCATTAAATTATTAAAATTATTAGGAGATCACAACAAAGACATGGCATGTACTCAAAGCAATATGATTGTTCAAAAAGAGATTAGAAATGGGTTAGAGTCTACATTAATTTTCAAATGCAATAGATATGTACAATAAAGTGGAATCTATTCAAACAAATAATAAAGCAAATGAAACGCGATAGTAGTGTTTTCAAAACTCTATTAGCTTTGAGACCTTACGCTAGTCATTCGATAAAAATAGAAAAAATCGAATGCAGAAAACACCTACTTCGAGATTATCGACATAAGTTTCTCATTTTAAAATACACGGAAATTTTTTAAAATTGGTAGATGTCGGTTTAAATAGTGTTATGTATTTCCAAATCACTGTGATATAATAAGTTATTTATTAAATAAATTTATTATTATGAACACTTATAGGATTATCATCTGAAAATTTCCGGAGCTATAATTAAAGCAAAAGAATATAAAAAAAACAAGATTATTTTCTAAAAGAAAAAATTGAAAAATTAAGAAGTGATATACTGAACAGTCCTAGTCACATTTTAGAACATAAGAAGTATATTGAATTGCAGTATTTTTACAATAGTGCCTAATGCCGGAGATAGTTTGATGACAGATTTTAAACTAACCAGTAAGTTTTTCTGCAAATTATTTTAAAACCTTTTTGAAATTCACCTAATTGGATCCATACCATTAATTAAATGAATGTAAATGTATGCAATCATGCAAACATAAGAGTTGCATATTTGTGCTTTCATTTTTTAATTACAAATATTTTCAAGCCCTGTGTTCAGCAGCAACAGTGTCTTGCAACACTACAAAATCGCTGTACCACGTGACAAAAAAATTAAAAAACAAGAGTCCTGGATTGTTTACAAAAAAGTGGGAAACCAAATAGCGAAGTAAATTATTACGCCAAAAATTAAAAAAAGTGCGGCTACGAGAAAATTGTTTAAACGGAAAAATGAGCAGGACTACGGTGAACATTGTCAGAAGCCAGACTTGTGTGCTGAAGATTACAAAACAGCAAAACGTACATTTTTAGATATTAACTTTAAAACCGAGACAGAAATACGGATGTTAAAAGAACAAACTCATGGAAGGAACTGAGGGGAAAAAAAGGGTTAACAGCAAAAATAATTAGGCAGTATGTATGTGTGAAAAAAAAATAGTACAAGTCGGAAGAGGCCTGTGTAATCGACCAATTTCCTTATATAATTCAAAGATTTAAGATGTTTTCTGATTGCATTGTGTTACGCAAACTGTAATAAATAGTGGTTTACCGTATTTTTCATACCAATTATTATTGTTTCAAGGAAAAAGCAGGTGTTCTATTTGAAAAACTAAATTTGGTAGCATTTCCGGCAACACGGGATGTGCTACAAAAATTTGATACATTTATTAAGAAAGCCAAGTATTAATATTATTACGTAAATATTTACTTTTTGAAAAAAAGGGGTAAGTTTAGGTGTTATCAGCCGGGGCGACTTGGACCAAACACTCTGTATACACGTAATCTCTTGTTGAATCTCCCTGAGCAAGTTCAGTCCCTACAGTACGCTGATGATATAGCCCTATTTGTTCAAGGGGATAATGTGGATACTCTGATTTCTATAATGAATAGAACCCTGCAATTGATAAAATCTCGTTTGAGAGAAGTTGAATTACAATTATCCCCACGAAACTCAGACGATTCTTATAACTCGTGGCCGAGTTGGTGTGGGAGTACGTATTGATTCACGATTTTCTTGGGAGGATTATATTTCCTGTGTCCAGTCAAAAGCAGTGAATGCCACCAGAATCATAAGTTATCTTTGTTGATCTTTGATCTCACTCTTCTCTCTCGATATGCACAAATAAATCATTCTTGGATCTATTAGATAATGCCCAGATGCAAGCCCTCCGGATGGCCCTAGGTCTCATGAAATCAACCCCAACCAATTTAATCTTGGTCGAGGCTAGCGAAATGTCTCTAGGATGTCGTAGAATTTTCCTTGCCTGTAAATTTCTCCTGAAATCTCGAAGTTTAGAGGGTAATCCTGTCGTGTCTGCGATTATGCGTTCTTGTATAGACTATAAACGAACATTTGCAATATTGGTCGAGGAGGTCCACCCCGCCTTTAGTGGAATTATTACCCCTTTTGAGACCCTAATTAAGGTTCACGCTCACCTTCCTTGTTATGACTTCCCTCTCCATATTCATTTTGAACCTCTGCAGTTTTCTTCTCCGTATAGATTTTTAAATAATGATTTTGAAATAATGCGTCCGATTTACACTCAAACTCGTAGAATAGATAACTATAAATAAATTCGAATGGTCGCTTACACTCTAAAATCATCCTAGAGTAAACTGACCAACTGTTCTAGTTTTATTGAGAAACGTTCTGAATTTTTAACTAATGTTTTAGTCCAGGTTTGTGCTGGCTTTTTATATTTTAATCTGGTTTGTTATGGTTTTATGAGTGATTATGGCTCAAGGGAAGGTGGTGTAAGAGTGCCATGATTAGTACGAGTGCCACCCATTCAAATTTAGCACCACCTTAGAAGAACTCTCTATGACCGGTACATTTGTGTTGTGTGAGTTCATTCGAACTCACTATTATATTAAATTGAGCTGTGTAGCTAATTTTTATAAATAACGATTTTCAACTATCTAACTGTAACTTTCTACTCGAAAAATTAAGGGCATTTTCAAACAAACATTGTTTAGAATGGTGAATTACCTAAAAAGCACTGCATAGCTGTTGGAAAAACAAGTGCCTGTTGAAGATCAGTTAAAAAAAAAATGTACAAATGTCGCATGCCACCAAATTTGAAACTATCACATCGGGTAGGAGTGCCACTCTTACCCTATACTTTAATAAAGTTGACCGACGTAACTTTTTTTTATTAGATATGCCGCAAGTTTATAAGCGAAAAACAACTAGAGTTTGAGTCTTCATTTCTTCTTCTTCTTCATTTGCTGGAGAAGAGTTTTTAGGGATTTCGAAGTCGACTTGTTTGCATCTCGACATAATACAAAATGTCAAAAGTTTGTGTCATGGTTTCCTGATCCAGAGGCATTCCGCGTGGACGCTTTTACTCTTAATTAGACAAACTTAAAATTTTATGCGTTTCCCCCGTTTGCTATTACGAGTATTTTAAGAGTTTTAAC